ATCGATAAAGAAGTAAGTTGTACATTTTAGGATTCAGTAGAAGCAGCTACTCATTGGCTCAAGCCATATCTAGAGAGTGAAGTGCCTGTAGTCAGAGCTATCAAGGGTGTTATTGCTGCTAGTGATGACCTTGTCATGGATGATGCTTTAAATGTGGAAAGGTAAGCAGAACTACAGATTGAAGTAAACTTTTATAAATTGAATAAATTGAAGAAAAAGGCACACAACTTGCAACTAGTATTTCTACTCTTTATAGAACGTTTCGGCACTTCGGCCTTCTTCAGCAAACTGAGTGTTTTGCACGCACCGTTGCTACAAAATCAAACGCGACTAACAGAAAACAACAAAACGCGCACGTTCTATAGCGCGCACAGCCTAAAAATACGCGCACTAAAAGAGCTTGCACGTGGGCTAGGACCTAAAAGCTAAACTACAAAACCAAAGAAAGCAGTAGCTAATACAAAGCACTCAGCTAGCCAAACCAGAAATTACATCAAACAAACCCAAGCCAGATGAACAACACCAAAGTAGGAAATTACTAAATCTAATACGAATAAATAATTAATACAAATAAAGGAAGGACATGAAAGCTACTGCCCCTGCAAGTAAACTTTTATATACAGATTCAATTGTGAATCCTTCCTCTAGGCTGTGTGTTTTGATGTAAATAATATGTGGATCCAAGTGTCATGTAGAAGCTGTCCAAAAACCAATATAGCAAACAACACAAAGAATCTCAAGTGGGAAATACTCCATTTTTGAATTCAACGCAAAAAACCACTACTTTATTTGACAATGCATTTTCTTTTACGCAAAGAACTTACCCAAAACAAAAGAATGCACAAGAAAATGTTGTTATTACAGTAGCCTTGAAAATTTTCATTTTCCCAAATACTCCAGTTTCGAAATTCAAAGCGAATAACCGCTGTTTTATTTGACAGCAGATTCTCTTACGCAAAGAACTTACCAAACACAAAAGAAAGCACGAGAAAATGTTGCCTGTACAATAGCGCTAACAATTTACATTTCCCCCGAGTTGAGGCTAACCCTGTATTCCCAGAAGGTTCATACCTTAGGTCTCATGGGAATACAGGGTTAGTCTCAACTCGGGGAAAATGCAAATTTTCAAGTCTATTGTAATAAYGACATTTTCTMGTGCTCTCTTTTGCGTTTGAAAGGTCTTTGCGCAAGAGAATCTGTTGTCAAATAAAGCAGCGGTTTTGCGCTATGAATTCGAAACTGGAGTATTCCGACACTTACCCTGTGTTYCCATAAGACCTAAGGTTTAAGCCCTTTGAGAATACAGGTTAGCCACAACTCTGGAAAAATGTCATAGTTTGTTAGAGCTATTATACATTGAACATTTTCTCGTGCTTTCTTTTGTGTTTAGTAAGATAATCTGCTGTCAAATACAACAGGGGTTAATTGCTTTGAATTTGAAAATGGTTTATTAATGACATGTACTATTTTGTCTTAATTGTGTAGCTATACGCTATCATGATTATATTTTTTAATTCTTTTCAGATATATATTTGGTACTGTGTGGGGGAGCGAAATGGCCAGAAATGCTTTCAGTCAGAACAAAAAGCACAAATAAAATCAAGAAGAAACATTGAGACTGTGATATAATATTGAGTTTTATAAGATAAAATTAAATGGARATTAAAAGACGAAGGAAAGTACTAAGCAAAAAGATTTTTAAAATATAATGAACCTCCATTTTTTTAATCACTGTTCAAAATTAGCCTGATTTTCTGATTTTCAGTACAGGCATGGGTCCTACTCTATGCAGGCTAGTTTATAATGATCATGAATCAGCCAACGTGATTCAGCCTGGAATAACATATGTCATATCCATGATACATTTTTAGTAAGATATGGAAAACTGCTGAGAGCATTTAGGACAGGCATTCTCAAGACAAAGTAAAGGCATCAGTGAAAAATAAAATATGTGTACACAGGTAGAAGTTATCTTTAAATAAGTTTACTCAACCCTGGTAAATGTAAGATCATAATTGACAATATTTACAAGTAGAAATCAAAACTTGCTATCGAAACGATTACTCCTCAACTTTTTCATCTTCTTGTTTTCTTTTTTCTATCTTCTTGTTTTCTTTTTTCTTCTGAT